TCTGTCTCATTGTGTCATATGGATTACTGTTAATTTATTATGCTGATCTGTTCTGTACGACATCTATTGCACGTCTGTCCGTCCTGGAAGAGGGATCCCTCCTCAGTTGCTCTTCCTGAGGTTTCTACCGTTTTTTTTCCCCGTTAAAGGGGTTTTTTTGGGGGAGTTTTTCCTTATCCGCTGTGAGGGTCTTAAGGACAGAGGGATGTCGTATGCTGTAAAGCCCTGTGAGGCAAATTGTGATTTGTGATATTGGGCTTTATAAATAAAATTGAATTGAATTGAATTGAAATTGAATAAATTAGCCTAGCTGCTAGCTGACTTTTCCTCTACTCACATGAAGCCAGGATAAATCACACAAGACTATTTTGTGGGGACTTCATTGTCTTCACAAATAATTGTTTCTTATCTGTGAAATAAAAGTAAAGAGAAGCTTCATTTCCACTGAGGGAAATTGTTTTAATTTACAAAAATAAACAGGGGGTCTGCGTCGCCAAAATGTGTAGTTGCAATTCTGGGAAGGTGCACAGCAGGCTATGGCGTCAGCTACAGCATAGGGTAAGCATCTATGCAGAGCCTGCGCCATAGTAACACCATTGATTCAATGCATATGTATAAACCTGGCTTCACTGTCAAATTTTATGAATTTCATGAATTGTGATGATAAATAATCAGCTGTTTACCTCCCAATTCAGCATTACTTCCTGATGGGTTTATTTTTCTTTGTACCAATGTTTAGAAAAAAAAAGGCACATCCATTTTGATTCTTTTAAAATATGTAATCAATTACTTTTAAATTATATCTGTAAATTTAAATTACCAAATGGGTAACATTATCATGACCACACAAGGAGAGCAGAGATTAAAGATTAACTATTTTAATATAACTGACCTACTGTGCCACAGATACAGATGAAGAAGGATATGAAGATAACGAAGTCTTCACCGGATCTACCAATAATTCAGGATACATAAAAAATGGTCAAGAGACAGAATATGAACAAATTGGTAAGATATTATTCATATTTATGTAAATGGTATATTTCTTTTCATGTGCCCAGTTAACATCCTTATTTCTTTTCTGTTCATTCTTTTGAATGTGTGTTGTGTCCTTGCAGAGTCCAGTGACAGAAGTGTTGATGCAGTGTTCAACCAGAATCAAACATTTGCCACAAGTCAAAATGAAGTGACAGATGCTGCTGGAAATAAAGATTCTACTGGGTCTGTCAAACAGCAAAAGAGCACAAGGAAGGTCCACTGGAAAAATCCCACACCTGGTAAGAAACAAAATGTAGTGTATTGACTATGTGTCACAGTTACCCCCTCAAGATTAGTCACATTCGTGTCAGATATGTTATATAGCAAAATACTGACAGAACAAACAGTCTTTATTGCAGCAATTTGTCCAGTTCTGTTTTCTTGTGTCTGTTTTTTCAACAGTACTAGTTTGATTATAAAGTTTGCAACGCCTGCAATACCTCTGTTGTTGGCCCTAAGGAGGGTATACGTTTTGTCCTTTGTTTTTTATTTGAGGCTATATTTCAGGCCGAAACAAAAAAGAAATGATCTGAAATTTGTTGTACATTTCAATCATTTGAAATGTACAAGCCCGAGTGAGCATCTGGAGCATTGCTAACAGCACTATTTTCTCTTTAATTTGGTGAAATGTAGATTTATACATCAGTGAAATTCATCCCGCTGGTGGAGAAATTGTGTGTTGTTTTAAAAATGGACTTGTGAAGGAGTGTGATGATATGAAAACAGATGGCACAGAGTCCTTTTCTTCAGTTGGGTGATAACTCAGTGAGATGTCTCAAGCCTTTGCTGCTCTGCTTCTAGAGCAAGATCAAAATGGACTGGCAGGTGACGATGAAGCACATGACGATGAAGCACGTGACAGTGAAGCACATGACAATGAAGCACGTGACAGTGAAGCGAACGATGAAGCACAAGAAGATGAATCAAGTGACGATGGAGCAAGTGACGATGGAGCAAGTGACGATGGAGCGAGTGACGATGGAGCGAGTGACAAGGGAGCAAGTGACAAGGGAGCAGGTCACAGGGATGAGGATGGGGACTCTACCAGCCAGGTCAAGCGCTTACGTTCTTCAAAGAAAAGAAAAAGGCGACAGAAAGCAGCCAATGGTAAGAGACCAAAAGTGGTCTGAAGCAGTTCATATTGTTGCAAAAACTTAATATTTCATGAGTGGAAAGCAAGGTAGTCACTCATAAACATGTATATTCTTGTTGTGTTTACACAAATCTGGCAACCACTAGTGTGTTTCATCATCTTGCGACACTGCCATCATTGCTGTGGCGAGCTGAAGTGTCTGCAGTGACCCACATACTGTATAACCCTTTCATTGTAGACATTATTTGTGCACCTTCACAGGGTGTTATAATGGTATAATTTTCAATTACTGTGTGTTTGTGAAGTTCAGGGCTGTATGTTTTCATTTTTAAAAAGGTGAAAGTAAACATCCTGAAGACCACCATGAGTGCGACGAGACTGAGGATGCAACCAGCACTGCCAAACACTCAAGGCGTAAAAGACAAGGCCCACTGATAGAAGATGTGGTGATTGGTAAGTAACCTAAGAGGTGTCACAAATCAATCACAGGAAGGGGCCTCAACTGAATGCATCTCCTTCTGGTACTCCAGCAAACAAAATACTAATTTAAACATCACAAAGTTAGTCTATATCTGCTGGTTACATGTTAAACTTCTCATTATTACAATTTTTAAGATTTAATATTGGTACAGTACCCTTGACTCGTATGTATTTATATGATTTTTGTATTTTATTATGACTTGAGCACTTGGAATTTCATGCAGCCACCAGATACAGAAAGCTTCATAAAAGATAATCATTACTTAACCACAAAATACAGAACTGTAACTGTATGTGTAAGAGTGTTTGCCACTTTGGAGCAGCAGGGAACCTCTCCATGAGCAGATCAACACAGAACAAAAAAGGCAGAGACTAAAATCTAACTGGAAAAGCAAATAAATTAAAAATAATAATTATGATTTTTCTGATTATTTGCACTGTGAAACTGCTTTTTGATGCAAGTTAAAGTAATCATAACGTCTAACTATTTACTGCTGTGTGTGTTAGATCCAGGTGTTCAATTCATCTGTGGCTTGTCTGATGTCAACGCTGTTATCAATGAGACTGCTGAGTTAACATGTAAGCTCAGCAGTGAGGACTGTGAGGGAGCCTGGTTCAGAGACGGCAAAAAGGTCAGTCGTAAAGGTCAAACTCATCATTTTCTTTGGTACTGTGTCCCTGTCTGTCAAGAAAGGGATTATATATTAAGTGATTACTATCATTATTATTCCAGTAACTGGGCTTCATATATCAAAAGCAATGTTTCAAGGGTAGCGACAGCATGCTGCACTGCTAAAATACACACCTCTGGTTTCGGTCATTTTCACTTTCAGATGTGAGGCGCATGTAAAAAAAGGCGCATTATCACTTTCTTCATAGTGGTAATTGGAAATCACCACAGCTTTTAAAAGCTATGTGTTCATCTGTGTTGTACCTCAAACATTTTACAGATGTTCAGACACTCTGAGCCTATTTAGGACAGAACAGAGTCGAATACCAAGCCCTGTGGGCCATGGAGTGTTTCTGATTTGATTAACTAATTAACTGTTGTTGCTCGATTTGTTTACTTCAATCTGTCTGCTCCTTTTTCCTATCAGATACTGCCAGATGACAATTTCTCTGTCACTAAAGATGGTGCGATCCATAAATTAGTCATAATCAGGTGCAATGAAGAGCACTCTGGGAAATACCGCTTTGAGGCAGATGGTCGTAAAACTGAGGCAATGATCAACGTCAAAGGTTTGCAATTAGTCATGATAATAATGATTTTTGATATTATGCAGTATAGCTGGATAGGGGGAAAACATATATCTATATTCACAGCCACAGGTCAGGATCAGATCACAGCTAAATGCCTTTTAACGTATCAATGACCCTGACTGGCCCCTTTCCTTTTAGATCCCCCAAGGTTTGACCCTGAAGACCTTGTTGCATTCACTGAGCCTGTGACAGTTAAAGTGGGGCACAACGTCTTCTTCAAACTGCATTTTGTTGGCCACGAACCCATAAAGATTAAGTGGTACAGAGAAGGAGAAGAGCTCCTAGAGGACAACAACACAAAGCTAGAGAATTCTGCGAGTCACAGCCGCCTGCTCCTGATCAGGTGCCAGAGAAAGGATACGGGAGAGATCAAAATCAAGCTCAAGAACGAACACGGCTTCACTGAGGCTATTTCACAGCTAATTGTGCTTGGTGAGTGAATGAGGGACAATGCTGATATTCAATACAGAAAAGTCTCTCTATCGCCTAAATATATAAAACACAACAATAAAAATGTCACACTATTTCAAAAGAAATAATTAACTCAACATCTAACTCCTTCAAGACAAATCTAATCTTTAAAAATGCCAAAGATGTGATTTGTGCAGCAACTGTGTAATAAGAAGTACTTTACTCTGGTAAGATCTTCAGAACACCAAACAGCAGTGTTGTTAAATGCTTCATAGCTCATCCACATAATTGCAAAAATCAGGCCAGTATTTTCTCTATCAGGTGAAAAAGGGGGCCACATTTCACTGAGCCCATCTGTGCCTGGACAGATTTAGACACTTACTCTCCAACTGCAGCTCTCAATCTATCATACTACCGACTGAGGAAAAAAGTTTTGTTCTACTTGAAGCAAAATCCCAGTTGGTGACAATGTGACAGGTTAAAGATGTGTTTTGAAAACACATTTCACTGCTTGACAAAAGTTATTATACTCCAACCATCTGTCATTGCTGCCAGCATCACAGCTGTCAGTTTTTACCATGATTATCTCTGCTGTTTCCCTCGTATAAATGCAGCATTCCCTCTTACACATATGAGAAGTTAGGAAGGGTTTCCAAGCTTGAACACTTCTTTGATGTTTCAGACAAACCCTCTCCACCGCTGGGTCCTGCAGAGGTAATGGAGAGTTCAGCAACATCTATTGAATTCAGGTGGAGGCCTCCGAAGGATGATGGTGGCTCACCTGTGATTAACTACATAATGGAGCGACAGCAGGTTGGACGAAACACCTGGAAGAAATTAGGGGAAATCACAGGTGTGTCCAGCTACCGCGACATAGATGTGGACCGTGGTCGGAAATATTGCTACCGTATCCGGGCCGTGACTGCAGAGGGTATAAGTGAAGCGATGGAGACTGATGAAATGCAAGCCGGCATGCTAGGTGAGCCAAGCTAGTACTTGTGTGATATCTGTTGAATCAATTTGCCCCACTATCATCCTAAAGACAGGGATGTAATAGAGGATAAACTGCACCTGCTGAGCTTTAACTTAATACAACTGAGCTCTTTTATTGTGAAGTGACAAGAAAAACCCAAACGTCTATTTTTCTCTTGCCAATACATCTAAAATTCATCCAGATCTATGACAGACAGAAAATGTAACATACTTAAGTGTCCCGATCACACAACGGCCAACAAAGAAAAACAGCAGAAAAGGCCACAAGGTCATAACAAGCACAGGTCCTGTACGGCATGGCGGCCGACCCAACACAAACAAAACAACATAATGAAAGCATAACTGACTTGCACTTACTATTTGATGTCTTCCTTCATGGTGGCCATGTGTTGTAGAAGTTCTTCATTTAGGCCATCAGCCTTAACGGTCTATAAGACTTCACAGAAATGACGGCTGGAGTTGGCAGTCATCCTTGACAAGTGTGAAGCCCTCTCCAAGGTCACGATCAAGTTTGTCTCCACAAGTTGCAGCTGTTGGAAAAAAGTAACATTTAGTTTGGATACTAGACAAACTCTGTTGCTGCTGGTTTAGCCACAGAACAGGTCTTTAATCTTGCCTTAGTCTATCAGCAGACCAAAGAACAGAAGTTTGGGTCTCCCCTTCTCAAACATGTATTTTCCCTTGATCTGGGCCCAACTGTTAACAAAAAAATAGTCTTTGGAAATCCCATCTTTTGTTATCCAGGATCAGTTAATCCATCCTACTTTTGTGTCATTTTTTCAAAGCAACATTGGATTCGATCACCCTGTTCCAGATATAAACTTTTTTTTCGGATTACCAGATCCAGATAACCATGCTCTTAATGGGGGTACACATCACAATGTAGGCAGTCTGCCAACAAATGCACTGCAATTACAACTTATTGCCATAGGCGCTGACAATGAGAAAATGGAGATCTTTGAGACTGTAACTGTAAATAGGCCTAACTTTTGCTATTTGGGGAATTATTTTATAGGGACAATATGCTTTTATTATTTTTTTTTTTACTCTATTGTACTGAAAGACTTAATAGGCAGCCTAATGTCTACTTTATCTACTTTATCGCAGTAACTGATAAACAAATCAAATGCAAAATATGACAAATGTAGATATATATTTGACCAATTTAAAAGTTTTCTTACATTTTGCCCCTGAAATCCACCCTTCTGCTGGGATCAGGGAAATCCAGACGTTTTTAGATGAAAGGTATCCTCATCCTCCTAAAAAGTTTTAAACACTACATACTAAAGGTTTGATCCAGATCCAAACCAAGACTGGATTACATGATCTAATCCAATTTCAGATTAGTTTTTCCCCTTTGGAAAACAACCAATTTTTTAGGTTTGATGATATATGATAGCTAAAATCCTATTAGAATACTTCTGCACAACTGGGCCCTGGTGTTTAAGACTTCTTTATTATTTTTTTTGTTTTATCGTTAAACTATTGGATTAGGTATCTTGATACTGATCACAAGTGAACCAAAGGGATCAGTTATGAACACTGCAAATAATTCACACCAACTAATGGAGTTTGTATTTATTGTGTATCAAGTTTACACATAACTCTAGTACCTTTATCCAGTAAATTATGTGGTTAGCATATACCTGCTAAGGATAACATTGGTTTCCTAAGCGCTCCCTAACAAGCCTAATGTGCTTAGCAGGTGTACTGTACTAGCATCAGAATACTAACATCTAAACTTTAAGCTAGCTAGCTAACATTACATAATGCAGTCTAACATCCGTTTCCCTACCTGTTTGTTTTTAAAGTAATTAAAACAAACCCTGACAGGAAACCCATGATAATAAACTGGACATAAACAGAGAGAGTAAAAAAGTTCATGTGGAATTAGCAAGTTTGTACCTTTCATGTGAAAGCCGTTTTTATATTTGAGACTTTAACAATAACGGTTAACTGTTAATTGGGCTAGCTAACGGGAAGCTAACGTCAGTTAGCTACAGAGCTAACGTTAGCTAATGCCTCCATCTTTGACAACCAAACTTTGAAAAACTCCACAAGTCGTTCGCCAACACTTACCACTGTTTTGTAGACATTCCCGGAGTCCTCGAAAGCTGTTTTATTAACCTACAACGTCTTTTATCCGTCGTCTTTTCAACTTATGTCCCAAGTTGTGGCTGTAGGTGGCTCTGTACTCAGATTCCACTTTGGAACCTAATAGGTGGGCGTGGCTTGTGCCAATTAAGCTCGTGCTCAGCAGGTAAATGTCAGCAGAGACCGGTGGACATATGCTGTGTCTTTGACAAGCTCTAACATCACTGAATCCAAATGGAAGATGTGGTGTCATAGTTGAAACTATATAGTATATCATTCTAATAGACACAAGACCACAAAGCTAGGCCTTAGACATTTGGCTTGTCATAGTAGCAAAAGCATAGAGAATATCCTATGGAGTGCATATTGTAAAGCGCCCGGAGTCAAATTTATGATTTATGATACTGGGCTACATATATTAAAAAAACTGACTTCACTTGTCTTGATGTGTTATTAATAACATCAAGGTGGTCTCCATTTTATTCAAGTGTCCCAGTAAGCCATGACAGTGTCTGTGACAGTGCTCTAAATGGAGCTCAGCCATCGCTAATTGAATTATTCACACCTGCTTTCCTACTGTCACATGTCAAAATGGGCTCTGTGAAAAAGAGCCATGTGCAGATTCAGTGTCATTACTGCCCCCTGCTGTGCTCCATTACTAACCATCCTGATTGCTTCTGGTCTGTACTTTGTTCTCTCTTATTTTGCACCATGTTTTGCAGAACTGGTGAGGAATGAGACATAACTGAATACCAGTTATGTCAGTCTGTCTGCCTCTCTAAGTACCTCTGATAAATTAGTAAAATTCAAATTACATTGCTGTGTTTTTGTTCAGTTTACAACAAATATAAGAGAAGCACAGCCTGTTCTTACACTTGGGAGACAAAAAAAATGTGAATAATAATAGCAGCTTAAGAATGCTAAGCTTATTGCCCTTTTCAAAAAAGCAAAGGATTTACCTTAAAGGCAACACAGTTCTCTGATGTCAAAGCAGCTTGTTTCACTTGTAACATGACCACAATATAACCCAATTCTTACGTATACAATACGTATTCTATTGATAGATTTTTATCAATCAGTGCTGCATTGCTACTGACAGATTCAGTCCCCCTGACTGATTTTGTTTCTGCATGTTTCAGCGTTTCCTGGCCCTCCAGCACCTCCAAAGGTGGTCAGCGCATCTGACGACTGCATCAACATTTCCTGGGCTTCTCCGACTAACACAGGAGGGTCACGTATCCTGGGCTATATTTTGGAGAAACGCAAGAAGGGGAGTAATCTCTGGTCTGTCGTCAATGCCATGGATGAACTAATAAAAGGTCTGCACTTGGTTTTATTTGACTGTAGTTCAATATCATGGCATTAAAGACAGTGACACTGATGTTTTGTTGTTGTTGTTTTGCTGAAATTACTTGTAGAGAAGAATTATGCAGTGAAAGATGTGGTGGCAGGAATGGAATATGAATTCAGAGTCACTGCCATAAACCTCTCGGGAGTTGGTGAATTCAGCAACCCCTCAGAGTTCGTATTTGCACGGGATCCAAAGAGTAAGTGCTGCAACTGCTTTTAATGCTACATTCACCAATTAACAATAGATTGTGCGAAATATATTCATGTACAAATCTTAAAATCATGTGATATTATTGAAAATTTTCACCTATATCATTAGATCTCTACTAGTAAAATGTATATAGTCTAAACATTTGATATTTGAAATCACGTGGCTTTTAATTTTGTACACCCCAGAGCCTCCTGGTAAAGTTACAGGCCTGAAGGTGACAGAAACGTCTTACAGCCACTTGGTCCTGACTTGGACCAAACCTGAGGAGAAACCAGGGATACAGGATGAAGCAAAGGGATATTTTGTGGAAATTCGTCCTGCAGAGAGCATTGAATGGTCCCGCTGTAATACCACTCTCATCATCACAACCACCTTCAGTGTGAAAGGCCTTAAGTCCATGGGCATGTACTGGGTGAGAGTGATTGCCACTAATGATGGAGGAGAGAGTGATCCTGAGGAGCTCGCCAACTATGTTGTTGCAATGCCCTCGCCTGGTATGTTGGAAATTTAATATGTTGCTGATTAGTTGCAGTTATACATTAATATTTAGAAGAAAGTTTAAGATGCAAAGTTTGGGGGTTAACTTTCCTTTTAATTGCTTTATAATCCCGTTTGGCTCTTATTATATGTATTTTCTTGAGACATGAACAGTATGGTTTCGTGTTTTAACAGAACTATTTTCAGGGTGCTGAATCACTAACCAGTCTTTTCTTACTCTTTAAAATGAACCTTGTAAAGTTAAATGTTGTCCAAAGCACTATTGCCTTTTCTCGTTATTCTAGTGAGACCAAAGTTCACAAACCACAAGATGAAGAGCTTCATGGTGGTGAGGGCGGGAAATTCTGTCAGGATCACAATAAACTTTGAGGTGAGAGTTATACTTTGTATTTATTCACTGGTGACAAACCGAGGCAAAACTAAACAGGAGAGAAACCCATAGGACATACTGTACTTCACCTGAAATAATCAAGATATTACTAAAGTTCTTTTCCACAGGCCTCTCCACGACCTCATATCATGTGGCTGAAGGACAATGTGCCCGTGACAAAACGAGTGACAATCAGTAACTCTGATGGCTCATCCCAGCTGCTGATCCCCACATCTGAGCGCTCTGATTCTGGCATTTACTCAATTTTGGTGAAAAATCTTGCAGGACAGGAGACCTTCAGTATAGAGGTCAGAGTCACAGGTAAAGAAAAAACAAAAAAAGGAGGTCCAGTGTCTAAGATTGAGGGGGGTGTAGTGGCATCTATTGGTGAGGATTGCACATTGCATCCAACTGAAACCGGTAGGATTCCTTTAGTGTTAAAAAAAAATTGTTTTTCCAACGCTGCTTATCGCTGAAGGGCTCGTTTCATGTAACAAAAACAAAATTATTCTTATTTTAAGGTGATTATACACTAAAGAAAACGTACTTATTATATTATGTTTCATATCTGCCAATACATCCCGCTAAATCCTACACACTGGACCTTTCAGATGTATATTTTCAATGTCAAAGACGTGTGTTAAAGGATGAGTGAAACTGATGGTGGTTACAGATGATCCGAAGCCTCCTGGACTGGTAGAACTGGAGGAAAACGTGCCCGGCACAGTGACCGTGAGATGGGATCCTTCTCCTGATGAGAAACGTGACGACCGCCTCCACTACATAGTGTCCAAACTAGACTCCACCAAACGCACATGGGCCACAGTGGCTGAAAGACTCTTCAATAACAAGTTCACAGTCTGCAACATCATGCACGGAAGGGAGTATCATTTCCGGGTGTATGCCAAAAATGACATGGGTGTATCTGAACCCTCGGAGTCACCGACCTATGGGATAGAGAAGAAGAAGGGTGAGATATTGCATTTCAAACAACCTCACACAGTCACCTCTTAAGGGAAATCTTATCTCTTAAGTTGTCTTCTTTCTTTGTAGAAAAATTTGTGGTCAGCGTACCGACGAGAAAGGACTGTGACCTGCGATGTGCTCCGACCTTCATTGTACCTCTGAAGCTCCACACTGCACCCAAAGGCTATGAATGCTACATGAGCTGTGCAGTGAAGGGAAATCCAAGGCCTCGCATCACGTGGTATCGAAATCACATCAGCGTAAACACTGACACCAACTACTACATCTCCGACACCTGTGGAGTTTGCTCCATGTTAATCCTCCGCGTCGGCCCCAGAGACATGGGGGAGTACACCATCACTGCAGAGAACGCCCTCGGACGGGCTGAATGCTCCACAATCCTCAGTGTCAGAGGTGAGAGACAAACACGCCTGCACTTTAATTTAAAAGATAGGTGGCACAAAAAACATCCTTATTAATGCTTAATCATTTCATCTCTCTTCCATACAGAGTGAAGACACTAAAGGCCCCACAACATTAGCAGTATTATTTTAAGGTTTAGATCTAATACATGGTGTTTGAGTTGAAGTGGTTGTGCTGCTTGGATGTTATGCACCAGCTGCAATAAGAAAGAGATAGTATATTGTATTAATTGGAAAGCAAACAAAAACAAAACTGTTTCTCCAATAAAACATTGCATTGGGTGGTTTAAAAATGTTTTTGCTGTGGAGTTTTCTGTCTCATGGCTCGAAACAGATAATCATTGCAGAGCAAAGACATAGTTTGTTGGTATAGTGAAAAAAATATATTCATCTTACATCAGAAAACATAAAATTACATTATGGCTGTTTGGTTTTCAGTTTGTTTTTGTGTCCCTTATAGTTTTCAGGACAGCACAGTGGTGAAGTAGTTAACACTGTCACCTCACAGCAAGAAGGTTTTAAGTTCTCCCTGGGCCTCTGTGGGTCTAACTTGCCTGTGTATGTGTGCATGTGTGTGGTTCTCTGTCGACATGTGAAGACGTGGCAACCTGTGCTACCGTGAAATGTGAGCTGGAATATGCTCCAGAACTATTTGCGCTATACACGCACACCATAAAGAAAATGTACAAGTAGAACTGGTATGACAGGAAAAGTCAAGAAGCCGTAAACGTGCATGATGTATCCCTAGTATGCAGCAGCAGTTGGTGATAACCATATACAAACAGAAAGAGAAAGACAGAAAAAAATGTAAGGCTTAACAGGCAGATTTACCAGAGCATTTAACCCCTAAATATCGGAGCCTAGCCGTTATCGGTCTGACAACGATAAGCCTCTGGGTGCAACACTAATTGGTCTGGTCACAATATTTTATGTGACCAGATGAAGCAAGTAAACATCCGGACCAAGACTTCCTCATCTGTGCATGGCCATTTCAGCTCATCTCTGTGCATATAAATGCAGATCAATTTTAAAAAAGCTAGTATAAAGCTAAATTGTCATCAGACAATAGCCACATGGGCAGATTTGTAGTTGTTATGTGTCTCTTATGGTTTATTTATTTTGTGTCTCTTTGCAGTTCCTTTGTATCTTTTTGTGTCTCTCTCTGTCATTTTGAGTCTCTTCCTGGTCAGTACATGTTAATTTGAGGGTCATTTTACAGGTGGGGCGGCACAGTGGTGTGGTGGTTAGCACTCTCGCCTCACAGCAAGAGGGTTGCCGGTTCGATCCCAGGTATGGGAGCCCTTCTGTGCGGAGTTTGCATGTTCTCCCTGTGTCAGCGTGGGTTCTCTCCGGGCACTCCGGCTTCCTCCCACAGTCCAAAGACATGCAGATTGGGGACTAGGTTAATTGATAACTCTAAATTGTCCGTAGGTGTGAATGTGAGCATGAATGGTTGTTTGTCTCTGTGTGTCAGCCCTGCGATAGTCTGGCGACCTGTCCAGGGTGTACCCTGCCTCTCGCCCGATGTCAGCTGGGATAGGCTCCAGCCCCCCCCCGCGACCCTCAAGAGGATGAAGCGGTTAGAAGATGAATGAATGAATTAATTAATTAATTTTACAGGTGAAGGCCAGGGGGGCCTCTGGACCTGTGCCTCGTAGTCCCACTCAATGGGTCAGTTCCATTTCAGTGTGCCAGCGCCCAACTAAACACATAACAGCAGTTGCCAGGAAAGCTGTGTAAATGGAGTGTAATCTGTCAGCCAGCATCAACAACCATGTAATTGTCAGCTGGCAAAACAAACAACAATGTTGGCCTACAATGCAAAAAGCCATGGTAGCTTTAGCTGACAAATAACTGCCTGCATTGACAGTAATGTTCACAATAGGATTTTATGTCAGCCTGAGTGACATTGATCAGCTGTCTTGTCAATCTTTCCTGGCTTGTTTGTGTTTATATGAACCATGTGGTCACGGTGACGTAAACTATAGACTCCACCTACTCAGCCTACTCATAAGTTACACCAGCGTGCTGATGGTGCAGACCCACTAATGCATCCATGGATAGCCAGTGGGCTCTGTCATTTTTCAGAAAAATATTAATTTACACTAGTTGGGGAATCAGCTCAGATCGCTAGTATCCATTGCTACAAAACATGAAGGGAAAAACTCAAATCATTGTTTCATTCTTCAGTTGAACCTCTTTATATTCAACCGAAAACAGACTCAAATCAAATGATTACGGTTAATAATCAAACACTAAAAAATGACAGTGTAGGATTGTGTTTATTGTCATGTCTGGCGCCCAACTTAACTTTGTTTAATTGCGAATAAATCTACACTACAACACAGACTGTTTACCTGCTGCTCAAACATGATTGGTCAATACTACTCGAACTACAAATGGAAACAAGGGGCATGTTCACTCTCAAATCAGTGTGCACCATTTTGCTACAATTTCCAGGCTGAATGTCATGTCTCCTCAAAAAGGTGTGGTGTGCAACGGGCTTTGACTTATGTTTTCTCTCGTTTGGTAGGAGTGTTAGAGGTGTAACCAATCAGCAGCAGCGTGTAAATAAACTAAATTCTGCTAGATCTTTACTGTACATACAATTTTTGATTGAAAAGGCAGTGCGCAATCGGGGCTGAACGTGCCACAGTTTTGTCCCGTTGCCTACAGATTCTGCATACATGTGGAGATATCTGCTGGTAGAGATTTTCATGCCCTGCAGCGAAGGTCAAGAACATGTTGTCATCTTAGAAACTGAAGGTGACCTTTAATAGAAATGTTGCCCTTTCCACATTCTGTGCATGTCACTGAATGTGTCTCATAGCCACATTCTTTAAAGGAGGCTGTGTTATTAGTACAAAGGACAGCAACTATCAGGTTAATTGATTAATAGGGTCACTAGAAATGAATCTCTGGTAATAGGGTTTTCCTCCAGCCAAGTCAGGACACGTCATTACAACCCATGGTGGCCCCACAACGGAAGCGTGTAATTGCTGCAGGCCACACGAGGCTCTGAGCTCGGCTGCAGTAAAAAATAGCGCAGGGTAACCGTACGTGTGGATTTTCCATTAGATGACAGCAGCGCACATGGTGGTGGAGGCTCAGCTACTCCCGGCAGGCAGCCCAGCCCCCCTACTCCCCGTTGCTCTTCCTGAATGGACGATCACGCTGTCTACGGTCCACGCCTCCCTGCCTGCCTCATCTTCTGCTCTACCTCTTCATCAAGAAACTCGCTGCAGCCTCTCGGTACTTTATTGCGCGGTGATTGATTCCGGCTCGGTTTGTGCAGCGCTGCTTTTTTAAAGGAGCCTTCTGAAGGAAATCGCCGCGTACACTTCGCTCCAGTGTTTCTGACCCAGCGGCTCCTTGATTCTCACCTCTCTGCCTGCCTAGAACATTGTGTCCTTTGTGGGGGAAAATGACTGCAAAGCATCGAAGAGGGAAAGGCAACCACAAGCATGAAGATAACTTCTTCAAAAATGAAGTTGTGGAGTCAGAAGTGCGCGGCGGAGTCAACAATTACGCGCTGCACTTGGTTTTATTCCTGCTGATTGTAATTGGCGGTGCCACCGGCGCATGGTTCTGTTTCCAGCAGCACCAAAGTTTAACCTACTTAACAGACAGTCTCATGGGCATGCAGATGAAAATAGTGAAACTACAGTCTTCCCACGAAGAAATGCGACAGTCGAGCAGGGAGGTAAGGAATTAAAAATAAATAAGAAGCCTGTCTTTCTTTATGAGGGTTTAATCAGTCACCTGAGTTTGCAGGCATTACGCGCACAAGACGCCTCCTGTGATGGCCTATATCCTATCATGAATCCACTTAAAGTCTTTCCATGAGCTTCTGATTTGCACTTAAACTAAATAAGAAAAGGCCTCAGCACATGCTCACAGTGCGCGTTGCTACTTGCATGCACGGAAAGTAAGTGGCAAGACCTGTAGGCCTCTATCAGATTTCAGAGTGCCAACAGCCTGACTGGAGTGAGTACAAAACGCTGCTATTTCTAACATCCACACAGCTGCTGACGTTTGTAATGAGGATTACTCTTGACCTACTACTGCAGGGACCTTATCACTGACTTTTAGATTCATAAATTACATTTTCTCTGTTCTGTTGTTTTATAACACAAGTCAACAACATGCTCTCAGAGCTGTGCAGAGGATGCTGCCAAAATAATAAGAAACAAGACAGAAGTGTGCCAGGGCTAATTTTAGTCTGTGATACTGAACACCAGCTCAGAGGCTGTTTACAGGTCATTGGGAAGATTGTAAGAGAGCAGACACTCATGATTGTTTCATCTGTGTTTCCAAAATTACAAAATTTGTCTAAATACTGTCTTTGATTCTGTAGTATTAGTCGTAATACTTGAACAGGTAGTTATATTACAGTTTGATGTATCTGCATAAATAAACAGACCCTGTATTGTCACTGCAAACAAAGGTTCATGGGGGCATTAGGTGATATCTTTACTATGTTTAAGTTGCTGCAGGGAACTCCAAGGAGATAAGAGTACTTAACCAAAACTATTCCACTCTGCCCACTCCCTCCTCCTCCATGCAGCCTCACCTTTTGGTTCTGCTCTGCTAGCTCAGTCTTGTTAAGGAAATATTTCCTGCACCAGCAGTTAATTGCCCTTTTGTGACTCATAAGTTTGCCACTGCATTTGCAACGTCTTACCAACACTGCTGGTTGGCTTACTGCCCTGAGTTTTGCTCCCAATTAACACATTTAACTGAGAAATTGTGAGAAAAAGTGGTGTCTTTATGTAAATTCAGTTTGAATGACATAAGGTCTTACAAGGAAGTAAGTTTTACTGAGCTGACGATGCACTGTCATACCTGTTCTGATTGGCTGTTCAGATTCTGATACTGGTTTGACTGGTTAGGTAGATTTAATAAGAATTTGATAAAAGAAAAAAGCATGCTGCTACAGCTTGCATCAGTGGGCATAGGGCTGAGTTGTAAGGCTTGAGTATTTAAGTAATGCTGTGTTTATTTTCTGGACTTACATACCTGGATATGGTCAGAGAAATGCAGTATTCATGAGTTAATATTCAAAGAACATATAATTTGAATATTTAAGCATCTTTGGCATCTCAGAGAGAGACTAGTGTTGTCACGATACCGGGATTTCTAACTTTGATACAAGAACTTGAACGCACCGATATTCAATACCACAGGGCAAAAAATTACATTAATGGCATCAAATTTAGTTTTTTTAATTAAAAGATGAATAAAATGAGTATAGCATGACAACAATGACTCCTCCCC